CCCTAAGGATTGCTATCCAATGCCGAGCATTGACAAACTAGTTGAAGCGGCTTCAGGCAATGAGAGGTTAAGCCTCTTGGACGCATATTCGGGGTATCACCAGGTGCCAATGGCTCCAGAAGACGAAGAGAAAACCGCGTTCTATGCTGGTGATGAAATTTATTGTTACGTCATGATGCCGTTTGGCTTGAAGAATGCAGGTGCTACTTATCAGAAAATGGTAACCATTGTCTTCCACACTTAGATTGGCAAGAACCTGGAGGTATATGTCGACGACATTGTGGTAAAGAGCTTAAAAGCAGAAGACCATCTCGCCGACCTCGACGAAACCTTTAACAACCTTAGAAAGAACAGGATGCGGCTAAACCCAGCCAAATGCATCTTCGGAGTGGAGTCTGGAAAATTTCTAGGTTTCATGGTGTCCTGAAGGGGAATTGAGGTCAATCCAGAGAAGATTAGAGCAATTGCCGAGATGGAACCGCCGAAATCAGTGAAGGATATACAAAGGTTGACTGGGAGGGTGGCAGCTCTGCATCGGTTCATATCGAAGTCAGCAGATAAATGTCTGCCATTTTTCAAAATTATAAGGTTAGCCACCCAGAAAGATGAGTCAGGGAAGCAAAAGAAGTTCGAATGGAGCCGGGAATGCCAAGCTGCATTTGAAGAGCTGAAGTCTTACCTTAGCTCACCGCCTCTGTTGACTAAGGCTGTAGATGGCGAACTTTTTTACTTGCACCTGGGGATTGCAGATGAGGCCATTAGTTCAGTTCTGGTAAGAGAAGAAGCTAGGCAGCAGAAACCAATTTATTATATCAGCAGTGTGCTGCATGGAGCAGAGCTAAGATATCCTATAGCTGAGAAAGCAGCATTAGCAGTCGTCACTTCGGCCAGGAAGTTGAGGCCATATTTCCAGTCACACCCAATTATAGTTCTCACCAATCAACCTCTCAGGCAGATTCTGCAGAAACCAAAGTGCTCTGGAAGATTAATTAAGTGGGCAGTAAAATTGGGAGAGTTTGAGATAACATTCCAGCAGAGATCGGCCATCCGAGCTCAGGCATTAGCAGATTTCATTGTCGAATGCACTCCATGTCCTTCAACCTCTAATCCAGAGCCCAACGACTGGACCTTATATGTTGACAGAGCATCTAGTAGCAAAGGTTCAAGGGCTGGCCCTCTCTTGATTGGTCCAGAGGGATACCGAAGTGAACATGCCCTGAAGTTCAATTTCGATGCAACAAATAACATGGCTGAATATGAAGCTCTACTACTTGGTCTACAACTCGCACTAGAATTGAAAATCAGTGCAATTCAAGTATATAGTGACTCTCAGCTGGTGGTGAACCAAATCAACTCTGTTTGCGAAGTCATCGATCCTGTAATGGTAAAGTATGTAGCCTTGGTAGCCGAGCTAAAGTGCAAATTTCAGAAATTCTGTCTGAGTAAAATCCCCCGAGCTGAGAATGAACAGGCAGATTCACTCTCCAAGTTTGCCTCTGATAACTCTTTAAGCTCCAGATCCGTTTTTGTAGAGGTCTTAGATGAACCAAGCTTCACGAAGCCTCGGGTGATGGAGATTAGCACAAACCCTGACACGCCGAGCTGGACTGATTCAATTGTCTCCTTCTTACGAGATGGGATAGTGCCTGAGGACAGGCAGGAGGCAATGAAATTAAGGAAGACAGCATCTCGATATACACTTGTTAATGGAGTCCTGTATAAGAGATCTTTCTCACTTCCTCTTCTACGATGTTTAAACCCCTATGAAGCTGAATACGCACTTCGAGAGGTACATGAAGGTGTCTGTGGGAGCCACGTCGGTGCTAGAACTCTGGCTCACAAAGTCTTAAGACAAGGATACTACTGGCCAAACATGTACAAAGATGCCACTTACTTTGTTCAGAAATGCCCGAAATGTCAATTCTTTGCACACCTGACTCATCAACCAGCAGAAGAGCTCACAAACTTGGTAGCGCCGTGGCCATTCGCTCAGTGGGGACTGGATCTTTTAGGCCCATTTGTGAAAGGGGTTGGTGGTGTAACCCATCTAATTGTTGGTGTAGATTATTTCACGAAGTGGGTTGAAACTCGGCCTTTATCTAGTCTTACCTCTAAGAAGGTCGAAGATTTTATTTTCAGTTCAATCATCTGCAGATATGGGATTCCAAATCAGATTGTGGTTGATAATGGAACTCAATTCAATTGCTCCTCATTTCGAGATTTCTGCTCCAGTTATGGGATCAAGTTACAGTTCACCTCCGTTTACCATCCGGAGTCCAATGGCATGGTGGAATCTGTTAACAAATGCATTTTGGAAGGTATAAGGCCGAGATTGGAGCAGCATAAGGCCAAGTGGGCAGACGAGCTCAACAACGTCGTCTGGGCATACAGAACCACGAGCCGAACTGCCACAGGTACCCTTTTAAACCAAGTTTATTTGATTAATTTCTATAGTATTTCATTTCTTCTGCCATCTTTAGAGCAAATATGCATAATGCATAAAGCACATTCTAAAGTTATAATTAACTGAAATAGGTGAAACACCCTACCACCTGACCTTTGGTACCGAAGCAGTCATTCCTGTTGAGATAGGAGTCCCAAGCTTCCGGGTCACCCATTTCGATGAAGAACGAAATGGACAACTACTTCGGGAAAACCTTGATCAGCTTGCCGAAGTCAGAGAAGAAGCTCGGCTTCGAACTCTTGTATACAAGCAGAAGCTAGCCAACTTTTACAATAAACGGGTCCACCCTCGCACATTCAAAATAGGAGACCTTGTTCTCAAAAAAGCTAGCTTAACGGGGTTTGAAACTCGTTTTGGCAAACTTGCCCCAAATTAAGAAGGTCCTTATGCCGTGGCCGAAGTGCCACATCCTGGTGCCTATATTCTCCAAGACGCTGAAGGAAAAAGAGTTCCTAGAGTCTGGAATGTCAATAATTTGAAGAAATTTTACCCCTGATAAAATTCTTCCAAGCAATCTATGTCTTACTGTTCTTTATGCTTCTCACTCCGTGTTTGTTAAGATTGATTTTATCTTTTTTTCCATGTATCCGAGGTCAATCAGTACTTACACCTCACTTCTGACTAATAAAAGTCACTTCCCATGTGAAGTACTTTATTTCCTTTTAATTTCGTTCACAATGATGTACTCATTCCGAATCTACATGGAAGTTATTTACTTCTTCTTACTTTGTCTGAAGTGACTTACTTCCCCTTAGTTCATTTTTGAAATGGTTGCCTCTCATCTAAATCACAATCTCAGTTCTTTTATTAATAAAAAATAATACCACAAATGTAAAGCGAATATAAACAAACACATGATTTCAAATATCAATTTTCATTTCAATTAAAATAAAGATTACAAGCTATAAATGTCTTTACAAGAAATCAAAAAATTAAAAAACAAACAAATTATTCTTCAGGGAGAGGTGGCTCCACTGGCTCCTGTTCAGCTGGACGAGGTGGCTGTGTTGGCTGCTGCTCGTCTGGCAGAGGAGGCTCCTCCTCGTCAGAAGGAACTGGATGAATCTCCACTTCTGGAATTGGTTGATTATCATCCACTCCAGCTCCTTCTACTCTTGCCTCCACTTCGTCTTCTTCTACCTCTGCTCCTTCTTCCTCCACTGCAACGAACTCGAAATCAAACTGTGGAGGAAAAACAGCAAGACCGTCTGCATCATCCTCCCACCTCAGTTTGATCTGAGGACGGAAGTCTGCTGACATGCTCTCACCATCTTCCTCCACTCCTTCTTCTTGCTCGCCGAAGGTGACCTTTGTCACATCCACTTCGGGATATGCAGCCTTCACCTTCTTTCTACA